TCAATTCTTTTTGTAATGCTGGATTCTTGTCGACGCGTGACATCAACGCGATTCGATTCGCTAATCGCTACATTCTCCCCTGGATGTCGCGCTGTCGCTGTGATTTTTGGCGGTGGAGATCTTGTAGGAGTTGCTTGAAGTGGATTACATGTTTGATGTTTTTGGCGAGTACCCATGTTGCTTCGCTTTCCGGTAGTCCATGCCATTTGACTAAGAACTCGAGTTGACGGTTGAACGTTCTTTTCTTCAGGAGTTTCTCGAAAATATAAAGTTCGTCGTCGGTAGCGTCATCGAGGATGACGGGTGTTGCTTTGGGAATTGGTCGTGATGCAAATTTGGGATCATTGTGCTTGTAATGCTTGAGTCGGTCTACGTTGAATACGTCATGCAAACGCGACATGGACATGGGAAGTTTTAGTCGCATTGCGTTATCGTTGATGACTTCAACAATTCGAAATGGGCCAATGATCGTGGCACCAGTTTAGGTCGTTCGGCTTCGTCGAGTTGCTGAGCATGCTTGAGCGGTAAATTTCTAGTTGCAAATAATACTTGGTCGTCCAACTTGAAAGATACACTTGATCTTTTGCGGTCATAATATTCTATTTGTCTTGCTTGAGCCTTGAGTAAGTTGTCTTGAGCCATCTTCAGGATTTTCTTACGTTTTTCCGAGAAGTTCTGAGCAAAGTCGTTTTTCGGCAAGATGTTGTCTGTGACAGGATTCCGAAGATTTCTGCCGGTATCGACTTGGAACGGCGTTAATCCAGTTGATGATTGTACGAGACCTTGGTGGGCATATTCGATGGTTGGTAAATATCAACCCCGTCTCCAAGATATGAGACTTGGCATCGGAGAGCATCTTCTAAGGTGCGGTTCTGTCTTTCGGTTGCTCCATCGGCTTCTGCTCGACCGGCTGTGGTCATGGCTTGGCGTATGTTCATGATTTCCATCAATGATTTCCAAAAGTTATTTGTAAACTTGGGGTCTCGATCACTGATAATGACACTTGGCAATCCGTGGTGCCTGACAACGTGATCAAAGAACAACTTGGCAGTTTCGGGAGCGTCGGCCTTCGTGATTGTAGGAATGTACTTTGCTCATTTTGATAACTTGTCTACTACCATCAAAATTGCATCGCATGACTTTGACATAGGTAGGCCTGTAATCCAATCAGCTGAAATCGTGTGCCAACATTCTTTCGGGGCTTGTATTAGAATCA